GATAGATAGATAGATAGATAGATAGATTATTAGGGTTCTGGGAAGTACCTGTACATTGCACTTAACAGACTGGTTTACAAATGCAGTTCAGCAATAGGAGCAATATCTGGTGCTATAGCTACTATGTCATTTTAAGCATTAGTTGCAATGATATTGATAAACCATATTTACATCAAGCAGCAAACTCCAGGGCTAAAAAATTAAGCCATTGCAGAAGTTCCAAAAATTCCAGTCCCTACAATAGCCACTGACACCCTTTCTAAAAGTGAATCAGACATTATGTTCTTTCGCAATTTTTTATTATGTCTATGGTAATATTCAGTAATTTAAGATGAACACAGGAGGGTTAATAAAGTTTTTATAATATGATATGTGGAATTTATTACCTTAGAAAGATAAAATGCCTTTTAAAATGCTTTCCATAAAGAGCAGAATAGAGGCCCAAGCACATAAAAGAAACATCTTTTTTGTGCTTGGGCTTACATAATTTTTTTTCGTTTGATTTTTTTTTAATGTCATGACATGAATATCACATAACAACCCACACATTGCCATGTTGCAATTTATAACATCTGGTGAATATTTGCAGCTTAAGAGTGTTTCAGAACTTTTAAACTACACTTCTAACTCCAATAGTTAGAGGAAAAATAATATTTGGTATATATAATATTTAGTTTTCGGTGGTGATAGTCTTTGTTGTCTTCATCCCACCTGATGCTAATGCCATCATTATCAAACAGCAGCGCATCCATTCAGTCACCCGCATGTGGGCGACTTTAACCACTGGTGTCTTAAAACAGTACTCCCCAACTTCTACCAGCATGTGACATTTGCAATATTTGCTGCTAGAAGTAGTCAAAGTCAGGAATGAAGACAATCACAGCCCGAAGAGGCTCAATCACAGCTACAGGACTGCTTTGATCACACAACCTGGGATTTATTCAACCAAGCTGGAGGAATGCACAGAAGCTGTGCTTTTTTATATCACAAACTGTGGATGACAAGCAACGTCCAAACACTCTTCAAAAACCACAACACTTTCTTCAGAACATGTGACAAAGCCTGTTACAGCAGAGCAAGAGCCAATCTAAAAGAGCGGAATAAAGATGATGAAAAGGGCCTTCAAGAGCAGGACTGAGGACCACCTGATACATAACGGCTCCTGTAGGGTTTGGCAAGGGTTACACCATAAAATCACTGTGAATGTGAATCATTGTGAATCACTGTGGAGGAGCTAAATGGTTTCTTCATCCAGTTTGAGGCCACAACAGACTCACTGCAGGAACAGGATGTGCGGTATTTGCTAAGGTCAGACATGTGCTAAGGAGAGTACTCCAAGCATGTGCTAACCAGCTCACTGGGGTATTAGAAAAAGTCAAGTCAGGCACTATAATTCCTTTTCCCAAAAAGCCAGTCTCTGTGGACTTGAATGATTATAGATCCATTGCACTTACTGTATGGCTGTGATTATGAAATGCTTCAAGAAGCTTGCCAAGCATCACATTAAAAGCCGCCCCTCTCCCACACCTGATCCACATGCTTACAAAGCTAAGAGATCTTTAGAAGAGGCAATTGCCATAGCAATCCACACAGCAATAAACCACCCAGAACACAGAGGGAACTATGTGACTATAGCTCTGCATTTGATATCATAATTAGAGACATTCTAGTCATCTGCACCTGGATCAAAGTCTTCCTCATTAACCGCTCACAGAGAATCAAAATAGGACACCACCGCTCTTCCTCCATCACTCTAAACACCAGTTTGTGTGCCGAGCCTGGCCCTCTGCATCCTCTGCCCTCATGACTGCATACCAGTTTGCTTGTCCAACACCTTGGCTGACAAGACAAGCGTCACTGGGTTTATCACATGAGAATCTATGAGAGCATACAGGAACAAGATAAAAAGACAGTCAGGGTGATTCTCGGTGAACGACCTGACACCGAACAGCACAAAGACAAAGGAATTCGGACTGTACTTCAGGAGGAAATTAGACACTGATCTGACCCCTCTCTTCATGTGGAAAGGGCACAAACATTCAAGTTTCTGAAGGTCTTCATATCTGAGGACCGTAAATAGTAAGGACAGGAAATAAAACACAGACAGGATGCTGTTGGTGGCCTTCTACTGGGCAACAAATGAGAGGCTGGTAACATACTGCATGTCGGTGTGGTATGCAGGCTGCAGATATGAAAGTACTCTAGAGAAAATCGCTGGGTGCCCCTGTCTCCCGTCTGGAGGACATTGCCCATTCATGCTACCTGAGCAGAGCTGCCAACATCATCAAGGACTTCACTCATGCAGGCTTTTAGCTCAGTTTCTTCTTTCATGCAATAAAAATCAAATGAGAAAAAACAATAAAAGTGTGCCACCCATCTGGCTCCTGTACACCCGCACTTCATTTATTAATGTACATACAGATTTGTATATTTTATACAGGTTTTAAGATCTTTGTTTATCCTAGATTTTATTGTACGTCTTAGTTATAATCCTGTATTTTAGTGAGCGTCCGTTTTTTTTACGTTGCACCACAGAGTAACATCTCAGTTTCCTTGTATATATTTACAATGACAATAAAGGCCATTCAATTTAGAAGCAGGCACTTTGTCCACAAGGCAAATGTATTATCTGCATTAACACAGACAACCAGTAACTGACTGCAAAACATCAAACACAAGTTACATAGCAAATCATAGGTTTGTTGTTATAGCTACATAATTACTATTTAGTTATAAAGACTGTCTCACATATCATGTAGCCAACCAATAACATCCACACCGCAAATATCTAAGCAAACAATTTGCTTCTGTCTACAACAGATAACTGTATACTCTGGTGTTGTGCTTTTTCATAAAAGCCATGGAGGTATTTACACTTAAGACTGGGTTTCTTAAGATAATCGATATATAATTTTATTCACAGTCATAAATGAAGCTTCTATACTGCTACATCACATGGCATATTTTTTCACTTCACATGAATGTCCCTATGAGCACGTGTTAAAAACAAAAAGCTGGGGGGATGTTGGGTCTCGTGTTGCCTCTGTAGCTGTCTTTTTTGAATTGCTGTGAATCCATTTCCCTCAACAGGTTCCCATAGTGCTGACAGTAGTGTAACTAAACTTGGACATGGACGCACCTGTTGCCATAGCGTCCTCCTCATTGTCCCGAAGCCCACGATGACGACGCCGATGGCAAGGCGCGATGCAACATGAGAACGTGGCGAGCAGAGCTTTGCGGAAGCGTGTGTTCATGAAGCAGTAAATAATCGGGTTGACGCAGGCGGAGGTGTAGCACAACAAATGGATAAAAGCGATGGGGGCCCCTGAGAGCGTCTGTGTGGCAGAGCTTTCATCAAAAGCCCGCCAGGTGTTGACACAGTACAGTGGCATCCAACACACAAAGAACAGGACAACAATCACCACCAACATGCGAATAACTCGTTTTTTGGCCTCTAGCTTGGCTTCCGATGTGTTGCTGCGTGGCCTCTCTGCCTTGATCGCCCTGCCTGATGCAGCCATGGCAGACATCTCCATCGTATGCGGCCGCTGGACTGCAGTCACATAGCAACCGTCTCCATCATCACTGCCAGCAGACACAGTAGATGTCAGGCCATTTACATCTGAAATGACAAACAGGGTGAAAGAGAGAATATTTTGGTGTTAATTAAATGCAATAAAAACAAATTCTCAGCCAAGTTCTTTAAAACCTCATCCTGTGTTTGAGCGGTGCTCCTGATTCGTGATACTTAATGCCTTTTCTGCCCTTTGGGGATGGGTCAGGATTATATCAGAGGCAAATTAAAATTCAAAACACAAAGACATAAAGGACAGACACTACTTGAAGGTTTAAGTGAACTGATGCCAAACCACTGGAACAAAACAAAAATACAGAACATAATTAAAACAATAGAAATACTGGATATAGGTATTATTCCAAATGATTGCACTCTCAGTAGCAATGAAAATATAGACATAAAACTGTGTATTACTTTAAGAACCCATCTGTCTGTACTTCATGTTGGGGCCTTCTTCTGGCATGCTTTAAATCATTTAACGACACCTCTGCACCTTATAATGTTTTATCCTATGCAACTAAATTGCCACATCGTTGGAAGGAAATTACATCAACATAATGAAAAAAGCAATAAAGTCACAAACATCCTATAATGGAGTGCTGCATCCACTTGTGATGCCTTTGGCATTATTAAACTTTCAGACATTTACAGCACTTGATTAATGTTAGGGGAAAATGTTGTCTCCGTTTAGAGAAGAACGAGTTTGTAAGTACCTGAAATAAAAAGTGCTTGTTTACATTTTTTTTGAAAATCATTTAATAACCTCAACCAAACAGTTTTTTTCTGAATACAAACCCATGGCTTTGTGTGTCCAAATGATTCCAATCACCGACTGCATTAAAACTAAAATTTTAAAATCAATTTAATTGTGAAGGAATACATTTTCTACAAGTCAGCGTTGTTAAACATAAATGGTCTTGATATCAGAGTGATTCTGCCATCGCATTAAGAATAGTTTATTCTGGGAAATCATCTTTTATCCTGCAGCCAGCTGACTAACTCCTGTGTAAGGTTATTTTGGAGTAATTTAAAGAGCAACTTCTTGCCTTCATAGATGGAATATTAGCAAGTAATTCTTACTAGCCTATGGGGGTATTACAATTCAATAAAGCAATTTGAAAACCTTGCTTTCCCTCTATAAAGAAATAATAAAAGAGGATTCAGAATTAAGAGCCTCAAGGTACCCCATACAAACAAGATATTGTATTGTAAAGCACCTGCTGGATTATTAAACACATTTCATAGAGACAGTTTTGCAGTCTGTGAGGTAAGATGCAATTTTTCAATCTCTTCTCCTTCCCTGTTTGTTTTTAATCCATATTGTTTTCCTCCAAAAACTCTTTTTATATTCGTACAATCTCTTTCTCTCTGAGAGCAAACAGATGGTGATGTCCATGCCTGCAGCTGCCAGCCAATCCATCCTCTAATGGAGCATCAGCAAGGACAGTCAGTGCTGCTATCACCCCAGACACGAGTTCGTATTCCGATAAAAGGTTATGTTTCACTTAGCCTGCACACACTACAGCAATTGTAGCACTAATGAAATTCTTGTACTTAAAAAAAATCCTCATAATTCGCACAAACCCTGTAGAAAAAAAAAAGTAAGGTTAGAACTTGTTTGGTACGAGCTGATAAGAGTTGTGGCATTCAGTAACAGAGAGTTTCATTCAACAGTGAAATCAAAACAAGAGTAAAGTCAATTAGAGAGCACTGACTGATCTGACTCATTTATATCATATAAAAATCTCAATTGAATTACTCATAAAATGTCAATGTATTAAAAAAACCATCTACTTTGCTTTTGTTTTTGGAGTCTATTGTTTATTCCACTATTTTGTGCTTTTAACTGTTTAGTGAAAATACTAAGTATACTCTCTGTATACTGGAGCTACACACACAGATGAACTGAAATACAAGACCAACAAAAGTTCTATATAAACATTTAATATGAAGACGTTTTTTACTTCCTTTAACAAATCACTTCGATGAATATTTTTGCGATTCAGTTTAAAAGTGTAAAAAGTATGAATACAAGTAAAATTATTGTTATGACACATTGATTCACCTGTCCATGTATTGAATTACTGCTCTTTTTCTCCAAAACATAAGTGTTAATATGTGTGTCCTTTTTATATTTATGTATTTACATTTATATACATTTGCCTCATTTTATATGATAGCTATGCCGTATGTCGTATGCATGCTGTTATGACAACTGAGATTAATAAACTTTCTCTGTTTCTGATTCTGATTTAAATGTTGCTGTATTTTTCTCTGTTTGTTATTGTTCTTTTCTTGGAACCACATGGCTTTCTGGAACATTAATTCAAACTTACTATTTTCTTTATGTTTTCTTTTATGTTTTCTATAAGTACTGTAGTGTAAATGGCCTCACCTGAAGAATCTTTTTTATGGCCCATTTCAAACTGGATGCCTCGATAAAGTTCTCTCGAGATCAAACCGTAGGCCACAATCATCATCACGCCTGGAATGGCGAACAGTACAAGCAACAGCAGAATGTACCTAAAACAGAGACGAGAAGTTTAAAAATCCAACCACAGTGGACAAAAAAAAAACCAATAACACGTGAACTCCGTGTACTGAGTACACAGTCTGTATATATCTTATGAGTAACGCATTCATCACGTGCTTTGTATGTTTGCCTGCTTTGTTGGTTTGTTGGGTCACAGCAAAGCATTGCATTTGAACATTTTAACATGCAACAAGCTTGTTGCCTGGATCAGAAATAAAAACACAACTTGGATAAAAATGGAAACAAGTAGACAGTAGTTCTGGAACAAAATTCATAGCAGTTGTACATATACAGCATTATTACATGAGCGGTGTCTGCTAATGGGTCGCGCCACACTCAGGATGAAGGCGGCTCTCAATTACACACCTGCAAATGTTACAGTGAGTGAATTTAACAAAACAGGGATGTTTTCCTGTTGGCAAAATCTGAACACTGATGGAAAAAAATCCTTCTTTCCACGGATTTTTTTAAGTGGTCTCTTGAGGATTAGTTCTCCAGGCTTTCTGAAGGTCTTTCAGAGTTTGCCTTTGGTACTTAATGAATCTCTTTTCTTTTCTTTCTTTCTTCTGTTCTTTCTTTTTGTTAAGCCAGCAAATACCTACCTATGAAAAGGAATGTAACTCAAAGAATGAACGAATGTTGTGGCTACACATAACAGACCATGAGCAAAAAAAAAAAAACATTTTAAATTATATCTTTAGGCCTTTGTTACAAGCAGCCATGTTGCAAAAGCATATAATTTGTTCCCATTTATTTGGTTGAATGTATGAAAAATGCCAACGTTAGCACAGTTTGACAGGCATAAATTAAAAGTTTGGCACCAACAAGGTGACTGCCAAAGATATTAGTTGAAAATTTGCACAGTTTTGGAATGTCCTTCACAAAGCCTGGAGACTGAAGACTACTTATAGAAATGAAAAGAAGGCAAAATGTTTGTTTTTAAGCTCATTAGAATTGTGCAAACTCTGTTTTTTTCTTATGTGCTGTATTCCCATGTATGTTTGGTCATATTTCAATCAATCACTGCACCTATTTCTCATTTCCCCAGCAAAATATAAAGAAATCAGGCTTGAGACACACAGTATTGTGTGTCTAAATAAAATAATAATAATAATAATAAAAGTCTTGCAGGGAGACTGATGAGATAATGTCTCAAGTGGAGATTAGACCAATGACCTTTTCATTTTTAACAATTCCCAAGGTACTCATCTAATCAGCCATTTCATGAAGAAACACATACCGCCGAGGGACGACTGCACATTGATATTCCAGAGGTTTATACAAATACGTTCACCATTGTAGACACACACAGTGAGACAGGATTATAGTTGTCATTGAGACACACAGAAAAGGCATAGATACGCTTTAAAATGTATAATCTTTTTATGTGGACTGGATGTTTTGAGGCCATTTGCTACATAAATTGAAAATCAAATAAAATGGGATCTAGCGCTCAGTGAAAGATTCACAAGGTGAAAACAATACCAGCTCTGCTGCTGCAGCTGCTTCGCTTTATGGGTCAAATGTTATGATAATACATCAGAGACAGTGGGAGCAGAATTTATACCCAGAAGAGAAAATCAAATACAAACATGACAAATCAGACACAAATACAAAAACAAAAATAATGAGCACACAAAGATAATCACGTGGTCGCCTGAAATTACATCCAAAGCCTGTTTTATCATAATTCATAACAAAAACACACTGAAGCACGCTCTGTTGTCTTCACCTGTCCCAATGTTTCCACATAAACATTGAACAGACATAGTTAAAACAGGCTCCAGGTCCAAACATGGAAGTGAATGAGATATTTCAACACAGAGTGGCTTACTGAAAGGACACAGAGACACACACACCACTCATAAACACACACAGTTCATCTAAAGTTTATTACAATGAAAATCCCTTTGTGATTGCAAGTGTTGTGAAAGTAAAGAAGGAAGGATGGCCCGACAGCGGGTTTGATGATGAAGTAAAAATATAGCTGGAAATGTGTGTTTATAATATGAGAAAAATGTTCTAACATATTTCCTATGAAGAAATAGGAACTTTTAATCTTCAGTCTTATAGTTGCCAAAAATATTGTTGCATGGAGTTAATTTAATGCCTGACTAAATGAAGGCTATGTAGCATGACTGAAATTTCATGGTATATTAGACCATCCTGACTTAAAACAACTTCCACTGTGTGACTGCGTACCATATCCACTCATGGTGTCTATGTTCGTTAATCCAGGAGACATCCTTCTCTAAGTTTCAGAGCATTAATGACTTTTCAGATATGTTTTGTTGTTGTTTTTCTTATATTTCTATCAAATATGCATACAATAAATATGTTACCTCACCACAATGTTAAAGAGATGAAAAAGTATAACAAATAAAATGGTCTACATAAGAGACACTGATTTTCCATCTATCTCTTTGTAATCTCTTCTTATTTTTCTCCCACACTAGCTCATTAAGTAAGGATTAGAATTTGTAATAAAAACAACTTAAAACAAATGTCATAGTAATAAAAGAAGACATCAACTTCCACAATTACCCTAGCCATAGCAAATAAAATCTTGTAATAATCAGTAAATCAGAACTTTTCAGAAAACACTGCAATGATGGGTCTTGGTGCTGCAGGTGTACTTGGTGTGGTATGTAATTCACTTATTACAAAGTGTTGCTTCACATAATTGATTTGGCAGAGCTTTATGTCCCTCCTGTCACAATCCCAAAGGGGATTTGTATCTCCAGCTGGAATCAAACTTGGCAAGAGAATGTGTGGACACTATGGATACTTGATACAGCTCATATATACACATATATACACATGGATACAAAGGCTTCATTGTTATGAGGAAAAGTAAATAAATCGCCAGCAGAAAAAAAATGTTGCAAACTGACAAAACAGAACATTTGCCAGTTTGCTGTTCTGGAGCATTCAGACGTGTGCTAACACAATGCCACAATGGACTTCCCAGCAAACCACCACCCCTAAGGTTAGACTGTAGAACAGGGGCCCCAACTCCAGGCCTCGAGGGCTGGTTTTGGATCTCACCCTGGGTCTATACACCTGAATAAAACGATTAATTCATTACCAGACCTCTGGAGAACTGCAAGACATGTTGAGGAGGTAATTTAACCATTTGAATCAGCTGTGTTGGATCAAAGACACATCTAAATACTGCAGGACACCGGCCCTCGAGGCCTGGAGTTGGGGACCCCTGCTGTAGAACAATCAAGAATATGGTGACATGGACTTCTGAAGCAATGCCCTTTGAACAGACAAGACTAACGTGAAGATTCTTGCTACATTTGGCAAAAACCAAATGCAACATACCAGCACAAACATCTCAGTGTCGTGCTGCACAGCCACGGGAACTGGGTATCTTGCGGTCATTGAATTGACCATGAACTGCTCTGTATACTAAAGTATTCTAGAATCAAATGTGAGGCCATCTGTCTGACAGCTAAAGCTTGGTTGAAATTGGGTCATGCAACATGACTGTGATCCCAAGCTCACCAGCAAATCTATAACAGCCTGAAAGGGGGGGGGGGGAGAGCTTTGTACGTCACGCACGTGGCAGAGTTATCTGAAAGTAATATAACAAAGTGCAGAAATCAAGTTTTTGATATTAAAACTCGTTTTTCAAGGTGTGTACTAAGTTTTTCATAGAACTGAAGGTTTGTGTGAAAAACTTTCTTTACTGAGTTTACCCAGTTGATAAGGGTTGAGGGTAAGGGGTAAGCTGCATCCACAGTGGAAGCAATTCATTCGTCATGTTTCACTTTGAAGCTTAAAGGTGGTTGCTTGCAGACATTTCAGGTTCCTGTTGCCTAGGTAACCCCTCTAATGTATTTACGATCAGGTCATATGTCAATCAGATCTTATTCTCTCATTTGCTTACCTGGAAGTTCAGAGCACTTTATCTCAGATCTCATTCACTTTGCACTGGCATTGCATGTTACAGATTACGGGCCATTAAAGGAAATTTCTGCCATTTTTTCCCCTCATAATTTTAGAATAAGAAAAAACATTATTCCGAGAACTGTTTATTTTGTGTAATGTAATTATCTAATAATCTTTTTTTAATTCATTGTAACTTTATTTAGTTTGAAAATGTTTAGTTTTAGCTTGTTGTAACACGTCAATCAATGCCTAACCAGGCATGTTGCAATGCAAACTATAATAACCCTGGTCATCGGCGTAACTTTGTGCTGAACATTGGTGGGGTCAAGATCTCTGTCTAAATAAATCAATCAATCTGGGTAAATTCCCAGATGATTAAACAGGCAACTATTTTGCTGGTGATACCTGAAATGAGTAAAGAAAATCAACAGCCTATTTATGCAAGATAATTCATAATTTTATTGGGGGGGTTATAT